ATATATATATATATATATATATATATATATAGCAATCACCTTTTCCACATTTCCAATTCTCATGTTTTTATGCGATTGAATCAAGTAATTTGGGAATCTACTTTAGCTATATTAATTTATTGGGTCAATAAATTAAAATGCATTAAAGAAAGATTATCAAAAGTGTATATTCGTCTATGTGTGTTTAAATACGAGACATTTGAAATGAAAAAATGCTTACTTTCCATCTCAGTTTAGCGGATGTTGCATGTTTATCCATAACAACCACTTCTAAAGGTGCCCAGTCAGGTTCTGAAAATAAAAATTACATTTATTTGAAGAAAAAAATATGGCGAGCTTAAACGCATAATATTTAACAGATGAGGCTACGAAATTTGACATTATAGTCGTAAACTCGAAAAATGAGACGTTTATAAAATGAAATATATTTTATTCAGAATTATTAGAAAGAAAATTTAACTTACCTTCTTCCCTGGTGGTTGCAGTGACAGGATTTGAGGGTGGACCCATGCCTACTTCATTTTCAGCTATAACAAGAAAACTGTATATGCTGTTGGGCAGGAGACTCGATATGACAGCCACTGTCTGCATCGACGCTATTCTCACTTCATTCGGTTTGTCGGGAGGTGGCTCAGACTTACCTGAATTATGGACAGAGTATCGAATAAATTATTAAATCCTCCAATAACATGAAATGGAAAGCATTAAAAGAACAAATGAAGTGAAATGACCAACCTTCTGTCTTCCAGAACTGTATTGTGTAAGCAGTTATTGGACGGTTTCCGTGGTAAGGGGCAGACCATGTCAGCTGCATACTTCGACTCCACATCTGAGTCACACCCACGTCCTTCGGCGATCCAGGAATTTCTAAAAAGGAAGCTTATCATATACTTCATTATTACAATACCTATATTTATGTTAACCCTGGAAATGTTGAGCAGTGGTGACTCAGGGGATAGAGCTTTCGCCTTTCAATGAAGTGAGCCGGGTTCGAATCTCTGCTATGGCGGGTCGATACAACTCCTCCCCATGCTCGCACCGCTACAGTGCTGACGTGAAATATCCTCAGTCGTAGACTGATCATGAGATAGAATCCCCTTACTGTCATGCTAACCGTGGGAGGATATCGTTGTTTTCCTCTCCATGTGATGCAAATTCGGGTTAGTTTCATCAAAAATTCCTCCACGAAGGTAAATTTCACCCAATACTTGATCCTGGAGTTCCCTTGTCTTCCAGATTGAGTTCAAAAATATGGAGTTGAACATCAGTAGTCGTGAACTCAAAAAATTGGGTCGGCTGTTCAACGACGGTTATGAAAAAAAAAAAATAAAACCCCAGGAAGGTAAGATTATGAGGTATAAAGTTTCGAGTAAGCGAATGAGATTGAAATTCAGGTTAGAGCAGAATTTCAAGTATACGAGTTTATCCTTCTGAGTGGGTAACGCTTTGTGCTCGCGTGCCACAGGTTCGGGGTTCTATTCTTGGACTGTGCAAGGTTGACTCAGCCTTCAGTGCGTCTATAAAATAAGTAAAAAGCATACTTTGGGACTAAACATTGGGGTTCCACGTTTTGCTCACCTTCGGAATATCTTCTCCTGCACTCTAGAGCCGAAGGTCACAAAAACTGGGGTGAACAGTAGGCCTTGGCTCTCCGTGGTCTGTTATGCCACTGAGTTCAGTTTTTTTAAATTCTTCCTTCTATGCTCAGCCTTATAAAGAAAGCATAAAAAATATTTGCTAAATTGAGCTCAATATGTATCAAACATTATTTATTGAGAGCAATTAGAAAAGAAGTAACGGAATCAATTTTTCTGTGTTCTCAATTTTAATACAATAAAATTAAATAATAAACTAAGTGTAAACTGCTTCTGACGTGGCTTTTATTCCAATTAAGTTTTGTGAAATAAATGTGTTTGGCTGCAATTAATATGCCCGTAGTTTTCACCAACAGAAAATAGGCCCAAGTGTCCACCATTAAAAGAAAAAGTGTTCTACTTACCGACGACATCGACGTTGATGATTCTGTAGCTTTCTCCGTAACTGTTTTTTGCCTTGCAGACATAAAGGCCGCTACTTCCTCTGTCCACGTGTAGAAGGACCAGAGATGTCGTCATACCCTTCTCAGTCGGAAACTCTTGAATCTGAACCCTAGAAGTAATTCCACGCATCAATACAATTCATCAAAATCGTTAATCGTTTAAACAAAAACCAAAATAAATTGACCACAGGTTTGACAATGACCAGTGCTTTTAATCAGTACGAAATTCAATCTCCTACAGGTAGGTACTTTATTTATGTCGCACTGCAAAATGGGCTATTGGCGACGGTGTGAGAAGCATCCCTGTTTATGATCCGAAGACATGCCATCGCAATTGCGATCCTCTGCAGAGGGGATGGCTCCCCTCGTTCGGTAGCCTGACGATCTGCACGTGAAGTCGAGCACTTTACGGTGGAACAGTTTAACGAGGACCGATACCGCATACCCTCGGTCCCTGCGCAGGCTGATCAAAGTGGTCACCCATCCGTCTACTGACCGCAGAAAGTGATGCTTGACTTTGGCGTTCAACTGGGAACCGCGTATTTGCGATCAATCCATTGCGGGACGGTATACCACCAAATAACATTCTCATTTAATAGTATTTTTTTTTTCAATTTTGAGTTTTAATAGTCAAAGGTAATTTTTTATTTTACACGGCTAGCATACACTGTAAACGTGCCTAAATGGTTAAGCATGAATGGATTATGCTATTTAGTAGTAAAGTGTGTCATTTTCCTACTTAAGTTTTTGCCGTATGATGCCTATTTTCCAAACAGATAATCTGAGCCGTGATGGCTAAGGGGATAGAGCCTTCCAATGAGCTGAACCGGGCTCGAATCCCAGCGACGGCTGGTGTACACGAATTCCGCATCCGGTTTGCACCCACCACAGTGCTGACGTAAAAATATCCTCAGTGGTAGACGGATCATGGGTTAGAATCCCCTTTCCGTTAAGCTAATTGTGGGAGGTTTTCGTGGTTTACCTCTCCATGAAAAGCAAATGTGGGCAAGTTATTTTAAAAATTCCCTCCACGAAGGAAACATTTCTCACAATACATGATCCAGGAGTTCCCTTGTCTTCTGGATTGGGTACAAAAGGACAAGGCTAAGGAGTGTAGTATTAGTAGTCGTAAACTCAAAGGCTTTGGTCGGCTGTTTAACGACTTATACAAAATTATACTCATTTTTATTTGTCGTAATTATGAAATTTAAAAAAAGTGTTTATAAGAAAATTCTGAAAGTAAGCTAGATACATGCACGATAGGTATAGTTATAATGAACACCATAACTGTTGTGTCCTGCGCATAAAAAACGGTTTACTTATTACGAACCATTTCCCCATATTATTATTTTATTTCGTAACACGCATTTCGTTTAGATAAAAGTTGTCATTTCATTAAGAATGTAATAACAATCGGATTTTAAACTTGGCGATGAGATTTTTGAAGAATTACACTATTATGCCAAAAGTATCCGTACATCCAGTGGTATGACTTAGAGCGTCCTGAGATACATATTAATATTATGTTGGTCCCCCTTTTGCATCGATGACAGCCTGCACACGAAGACCTTTACACCAGTTTCTTTATAGGACTTCCATCACAGCTGTGCTTGCAGTGAGGATTTGGCTAACTTCGTATTATACATTTGTCCCAAAGGTGTTCTATGGGATATAAAACCTGAGAAGGCCTTTCTGTTCACCCATTTAGTCAAACTACGTCTGTGCAAGCCTCGATGAGTGAATGGAAGATAAATGGACCGAAATATTGCCTTAGAGTTGAGGGTGCAGCATTGTCCACATGCACATCTCACAGTTCATGTTTCCAACCACTGGAAGTAACGGACCCAGGCCAAACCACGAGAAACACCCCCCCGCACCATTATTCTTCCACCACCACAACAACCAGGGTGTCCGGATACTTTTGACCACATAGTGTATCACTTCGATATGTACTGAGATGTGAACAGTCATCTAAAGAAAAAAGTAAGTTCTCACTTGGGTTTTCTAGACTCCAGAGGCTTTCCATTCTTCTCCCACTGAATGTTAAGTGGAATGTCCCCTGTCATATTGCACTGAATAGTGACATCCTTGTTCTTTTCTACTACCAAAGAGCTTGGACCAGCGTCTACTCTGGGGGGAACTGAAAAGAAAAGATTTTCTTGTGAATTAATATTCCAGAAAACATGTTATCTTACGGCAACCGTGTCGGAATTTTATTTTTATTGTCACAAAAATGCTTGTACTCAAAACCTTTTTTCTATAAGGCAAAAATATTGCAGTTTCAAACCTTTCATCCTGAAAGGATTAAAAATTATTTTTTGAAGCTTTTTTAAAAAGTATAGTGACTCAGGTCCATAATGACTTTTCAGCTGACCTCACACTAGCGATAGGATTCAATTGCATTGTCCATTAAAATTTCATGACAAGGTGGATTTTATCTGAGCATACAAGACGGTGCGAAAAAGAAACCTTATAATGACCTAGATTTAAGAATATTATTACCTTGAGATTAGCTTTAATCAAGGATTTTTAAGCTCTTCAAAACCCTAATACAACTTGGATTGAAGATTTTTATATTGAAGGTTCCTTTTTAAGGTTTTGGGTTAGGGTAATGTGCGTAGAATAGAGAAGATAGTCACAGATCTCGTTTTAAGGTAAGAAGGTTTAACAAACCTTTTTAGGTTTACATAAAAAGGTTTTTGTTAAGAAAAAATAAATTTTATTTTGCTTGCTGGGTTAGTAAAAATTCAAGTAATAATTACGCACATTAGAAAGTTATTAAAGGGAGAAAAATGGTTGAAAACTTCATTCTTCGTTTGATGTTTAATGAAGAGATTTATTCTAAAAAGGGATAGAATAATAAAAAAATAAGTAGTCACGTACCTTGTACTTCCACCCTAATAGATTTCCTTAGCTGATCTCCGATGCCATTGGACACATGGCACTCGTAAAAACCTTCGTCTGCTTTTTTAGCTTCCGGTATTTTCAGACTATGGCCATCGTCTGAGATTCTCACGTGACCATTCGAATGAATCACATCGAAATTCATGGCTGAAAAATCTGGAAAAAAAAGAAAGAAATGTGTTTGCATTTATTTTGTAAAGTAGTGTTTTCAGTAGAAGATTAGAAAACTTGTGATACGGACGTGAATTCTGAGAGGAAATGAATTTTAGAATACGCATGCCCAAGCATCTAGACCATTTTTTTAAACCCCGTCGCATGAAAATATTCGGAAGCTATTTCACAAATCATCTGCCTTATCGAAAGTAACCTATCACGAAAACCTCCCCCCTTTTTCTAACATATCTCGAATTCCATCGGTAATTTAAAATTTAAAATCTTGAGTTATCACGCGATAAAAATTATTGGCAACGAAACCGGCAAGTCAACCCAATCGTATCCAACAAAAATTGGCTGAAAATTCTCATGTGAAACCCTTGTTAAAACTTTTGATGGTTTTCTATTGATGGACCTACATACTTTTGGTAATAACTCCGTCATGAACCATTCTATTTTTGATTGTAATCAACATTAGAAACCATCATCCCAATATAAGAATTCGGACTGATGTATGATGGTCCACCATGATAGCAACTTGTTTTGTTAGTTTGCTCACTTTAAACCATCAGAAATTTCTGTAATAGTTTCTTAGAAATCAAATGTTGTAACGATCATGAGCTACCATCTCCCCAATGTAAGAATTCGGACTGATTTATGATGGTCCAACATAAGAAAAAACAAATTGTTTTGATGGTATATTCCTGAGAGCCAGCAAGAATCATTATAAAACCATCGTGGAAATGTATAGTTTGAACGATCATGGACCATCTCGGATCATCATGAATTGTAGGTCAATGAGAATCAAACTTATCTTGATGGTTCACCATCATAGTATTAAAGCATCATCTTCCATTCATGGAATGATGGAAGTTTGTTGGCATATCAAAAACCGTTGGAAAATGTTGGATGACGGTGACCATCAAATGATACCGGACCATCATGAATCGCACTGTATCCTACATAAACCATCAAAATGTTTTGATGGAACCATCAAGAATTTTGACTCGGTTATAGAAGTCACAGTTGCCCGAAATACCAGCTACTATTAATAGAAAAATCGCCTATAATAAAGAGCAACTCTCACTTGAACCAATCAGATCCTTTGCTTTTTATGACGTTTCAGTTCTATGTGATGACGTTCACAAATGTAAATAAATTAGCCGATGAAGAGGATCATCGGATGAAAATTTGAGTTCATTAAATGAATTAAGTTTTCCAAGGTTTTAGATTAGGGTAATGTGTGTAGAATAGTGTCACAGATCTCGCTTTAAGATTAGAAGGTTCACACATAAACCGCATGACAAACTTTTTTAGGTTTACATTAAAAGCTTTTCACTGGGTTAAAATAAACCTTATTTTGCTATCTGGGTTATTTCGATGCTTTGAACAATTTCTGTATGGTTTACTGTCAGGTTAACTAACAAACTAGGTTTGCTCTCTTCTCGCATTTAAAAGTACCAATTGACTTCTTGAAATGCTAATTGAAAGAAAACACGTACCTGTATTCTTCCTCCATGTGATAGTCGGTTTTGGAGATGCTTTTGCTTCACAGAAGAGGGTGATCTTGCTGCCAGCCAGAACGGAAACATCCATGGGGGGCCTCACCCAATTTGGGGGAACTGAAAAACACATTTCATGCAGTCAAGCAACAAAAAAAAGAACTGTTATTACAATCATATAATATTCAACCAATCTTTAACTCTTTTAGAAGTATGGTCTTCCTTTTATCGTGCTTGACAAGAAATAAAAAGGGCGCGAAGTTGTAAAATAAAAAGGTTTCGAAAACAAAATACACTTATATTAGTTTTGCTAATAAGGAAATATATATGATGGCACTCTATTAGCAAACTTGAAAAATATTACAGTGATAGGTCCATATAAAAGCTGATGGACTGTTTATCGCTACTTCGTTGAATCTGTTGATAAAAATGGAAGAAATATTCTTTTTGAAAACTTTAATGATCTGTCAGAAATAAGGTCCTGCATTAGTACGAAGACATTCACGCGAGCAGCACGATGACCAGCTAAACAAGCAGTTAAATTTCTCATTTTACCCATTGGCAAAATGCGTCGTGTTTTGGGTTTCATGGCGTGCGCATTTTATTTGGACGTTATCGCACTTTTCAACAAAGTTCAAGAGTAATAGTAAAAGGTGCGCATGCGTCGCGTCGGTATGGCGGCCGCTGCTGTTTGATAATTTTTTTAGAATTCTTTTTTTATTTTTACCAGCAGTCATATTTAATGTATTTGCATAATAATAATTTAAAGTATTTTTATATTCTTTTATTATTGACTTATAATGACTGTCCTGACGGTAATTTTAATATAAAATCTATAATTATAGATAGTTATATATATATAATCTATTTCAGTTATAGGCATTGTTCTCCTTTATTTTCTAAAAAATATTAAATACTGCATTTGAGGGAGTCATTTGGTGGACACTTTAATGGTTTTTTTATATTTTTTTGGTTCACAAGAGAACTTTGGTATTAATTTCAAGTCATTGGATAGGTGACTAAATTTCTAAAAATACATACATATGCTAAGATACATAGATCAGGCATCTTGAAATTTTTTTTAAATTTGTCCCTGTCACCCTAGATTATGAACGCAGACGTCGCTAAAATCAATAGTGATGCAAATTTGATATGAGGAGGGTGGGAAAAATTCGTTTTGACAAGTATGCAGTTGTCTATTTCATTTTTAGGCATTGTTCTCTGTTGCTGTTTAATTAATATTAAATGCTGCATTTGAGGGGGTCATTTGGCAGACACTTTAAAGATTTTTTATATTTTTTTGGTTCACAAGAGAACTTTCGTATTAATTTCAAGTGTGTGCTTGTAGAATATATTAATTTTCACTTAAATGCAAACGTTTTTATATCAAATTGAAGGTAATTCAATGTTGAATTTAATAATAAATACAGTATTACAATATCTGTATTACAAAAAAAGTTATGCAGCTAATAGTAAGATCCATCTCAGATTCGCATTTTTTTAAAGTGGTATTTAAGTAATCAATACTTAGTAGGATAACCCTTATTTTTTAAGGCAGCTTCACAGCGTTTTTTCATCGAGTGAACGAGCGTTTGGAGTTTATCTTTCGTAATCACATGGTGCCAAGAATCAATTATGGCTTCAATAAGTTGTCTTTTTTTGGATCGACATTTTTTTCGTACAAGAATTTTCAAACGTCGCCGTAAATTTTTAATTGGATATAGGTCAGGGCTGTTTCCTGGCCATGGTAATATATCTATGCCTTTATTTTGAAGCCAATGCTTTGCATACTTTTGCTGTGTATAATGGAGCTGAATCCTGCTGAAAAATAAATGGTGCGTTGTTGGGGAAGAGATCCCTGATGGACGGTATCAATTTTGGTTTCAGGACAGTTTTGATGTATTGTTGGCATTCAGGATGCCATCAATCACTTGAATTCGGCCCACACCATCTGCAGACATACATGCCCAAATCTTTGTTGGGTTTTTTGTAGTTGCTTCAATGCAATCAGGATGAAGTGCTTCACCTACTCTACGTCTCACGTATTTTCTACCATCACTACCAAAGAGCTATATTTTACTCTCATCGCTCCAGATTACTTGCTTCCGTTGATTTTCTGACCATTTAATGTGTTCTTTTGGTCACTTAACTCGTTTTTCGCGTTGTTTTTT